CCACACCGACCCTTTGTGGATAAGATTGGGCACCCCTGATTTACATGAACTCAGACTTGTGCTACATATTTTTCTGACAACAAATGTGTCTTGGTGTCGGGGTCAGCTCTTGTTTTTATAAGTAGTTGCTTTTCTCACTAGATAAAATACATCTGCATTTTGCAGGGCAGTTTGGAAAGAAATGGGGCTTGGGGGTGACAAAACCTGCAAAAAAGTGGGACAACCTCAAGGCCACATACAAGGTAATTTATTGGGTGCATCTCATTTAGTGTTTTTTCGTTCTGGTCCTGGAGGAGTCCTCTGCACATTTACCGTTTCCCTGCTCCCAGTATAACTGATCCAACGTATTACCTCATTAACAACCCAATTAAGTGAGTGTGTTAAAGCAGGGAAAGCTCTAAAATGCACAGGGCTCTGTGTTCCTCCAAGAAGGGTTAGGAAACACAGGCCCAGTTTAAGCTTGGGTTTAATATCCAGTCTAAACCAGCACATTTACACTTGCTGTTTTCAAATGTATCATCTGCATCCAGATATTGTTAGACCATGAATGAAGCCAAGCTGTCCACATCTACACACACAAACAGATGTGTGCTTGACCACCTTGGAATCAGGGTAGCTAGATCTGATCCAAACACATTTCAATCATTATCACAGTTACACCTTTCTTTTAAAAATGTACGGAAACAGCATTCACACACGGGATGCGTTTTTACTGCAAGTGTAAACAGGGTCATATTGATGCCTTCGCAATTGATTTACATTCTCCACAAATTTTACGGGCATAATTTTTTTTTTTTTTTACATGTGCTTGGAGAGAGAGGAAACATTCAGAGCTATGTCCATGATGCAGGTCACCAGCAAGTGGTCCCACAGTTTAACTACACAAGTATACTCCGTTGACGATACCACAACTATGCACATTAAAAAAGGCAATGAACATAGATACAAAGACATGAGGTGCTTGAGGAACACAAGAAAAGATGCACCTCTTGTCTTTGTATCTACCTTCACTGCCTTTGGTTTGCCCCTGCCCCTCCGCTTCCAGTTAGTAGTTAAGTGTCATGGGGCACTTGCTGATGACCCATCAAAAGAGCAGACTTTTGTAGTTTTTTAAGTACATGACTAGGTCTGTATGTATGCTCCTGCCGGTCACAGTGGCCTACAGTGCTGTGAAAAAGTATTTGCCCCTCACCTGACTATTTCTAATTTAGCTTATTTGTCACATTTAAATGTTCCAGATCATCCAACTAAGTTTAATATAAGAGACAACACAAGTTAACAAAATGCAGCTTTTAAATAATCATTCCATTTATTGAAGATAAAGATTTATTCAAAACCTATATCACCCATGTGAAAAAGTAACTGACCCTAAACCTAATAACTATTTGTGCCATTCTTGAACTGCCCATTTAAGGTCTTGCCACAGTATCTCAGTGGGATTCAAGTCAGGACTGTGACTTGGCCACTCCAAAACCTTCATTTTGTTTTTTTTTGAGCCACTCAGAGGTGGACTTGCTTGTGTGCTTCGGATTATTGCCCTGCTAACCCAACTGCACTTGAGCTTTAGGTCACAAACTGACAGGCATATGTTCTCCTTCAGGATTTTCTGATAGAGAGCAGAATTCATGTTACCATCAATTATGACAAGTCCTCCAGGTCCTGCAGAAGCAAAGCACCCCCAGACCACCACACTACCACCACCATGTTTGACTGTTGGTGTGATGTTCTTATGGTGGACTGCAGTGTTAGCTTTTCCCCAAATGTAACGGGACCCATGTCTTCCAAAAAGTTTCACCTTTGAGCCCACAGCATATTATCCTGAAAGTCTTGGGAGTCATTTAGATGTTTTTTGGCAATTGCAAGATGAGCATCTGTGTTCTTTTTGGTCAGCAGTGCTTTGTGCGTTGCAGCTCTGGTTCTTATTGTGGAATCATGTACATTGACCTTAACTGAGGCAAATGAGGCCTGCAGTTCTTTAAATGTTCATCTGGGTTCTTTTGTGGCCTCCCAGATGAGTTGTCAATGTGCTCTTCCTGAAATTTTAGTAGGCCAGCCACTCCTGGGAAATTTAACCACTGTTCCAAATTTTCTCCATTTGTGGATAATGGCTCTCACTGTTGATTGCTGGAGTCCAAGAGCCTTAGCAATGGCTTTGTAATCCTTTCCAGACTGGCAGATCTCAATAATTTTGTTTTGCCTCTGTATTTGAATCTCTTAAGACTGTGGCATCATGTGCTGATTTTTAAGACCTTCTAATCTGCTTCACATTGCCAGACAGGTTCTATTTAAGTGATGTTTACATTCAACAGGTCTGGCAGTAATCATGCCTGCGTGTGGCTGGGAAACTGAACCCAATAGTCAATTAAATTTGGTTAACTAGTTGATTTAGTAGCTAAGGAGGCAATTACTTTTTCATGTAGGGCCAAGTAGGGCTGAACAGCATTTTCCTTCAATAAATAAAATCATCATTGAAAAACAGCACTTTGTGTTTACTTGGGTTACCTTTGCCTAATATTAAAAGTAATTTGATGATCTGAAACATTTAAGTGTGACAAATATGCAAAAATAGAAGAAATTGGGAAGGGGGCAAATACTTTTCACAGCAGTGTATGTCCATGTCACCTGCACAGCGAACTGTAGCTTAATCTCAAGAGCTTTGAATTAAAAATTGAATGCTACCTAGTCTTTATCATGCTGGAAGCTCTTTAAATGATGGACCATGCTTTGGCATGATGGAGGTTGTACCTGTATAACGTTATGGGATCATCAGCAAGATGGGAGCACAGAGGCAAGGATAGCCTCCATCTCAAAGAAGATAAAATCCCTAAGGTGGCTACACATTTTGAGTTATGATGGTTCTTTTCTTAAGCACACTTGAATCATCAACAGACCCAGCGTAGCCCACAAAAATATCAGCAGAAATGAAGTGTGCAAGAGTGGCATAGCTCCAGCAGAAGTCAGGCTAGATGTCAGTAACAGCATCAAAAAACATTCTTATTATAGGTGCTTGATATTTCAGGTGGTAGTATGTTTGCGGTGCTTCTACCTGAAAATAAGTCAAAAAATCAAATTGTGTTTTTTATTATTGTGACTTCTGTTATTGAAACATATGTTAATATTACTATTAGCTAGATATCTGTAATATCAGAGTAAAATCTGGAAGCCCCTAAATCTGGTACAGGTAAGAAATGTGGAAGAAGACATAATCCAGCTCTCTAGCCAAAGCAAGTTAAGCTCACTCTTTGAAGATGCTGACGAACTAACAAAGCTCTTGTTAGGTCCCTGGTCCTTGCTGGAGCACGCATTCCTCTTTGTCTTAGGGCTAAAAGCTCTAACACAAACAGGATAATGGACATCTTGACTAACACAAGTGAGTACATGACAAATAAGTGACAATGTTAATATAATGTGAGCTAGAATAAATGAAGCTTGTGCTCAAGAAATAAGACAATGCATAATAGTATTTCACTCAGCAGTTTTTTATTCATAAAATGGAAACATGGAAGTAGCTAGAGAATCAGATATTAATATGTGACAGCATACATTAGAACACAGAAGACATAGCCGAACTGTACCTGCGATGTCTTATGATGATGGCGGTAGCATGCATTGTTGAGGTTCCGGATTGTTTATGTGGTGAAACCTCACAATAATCTGTTTTTCGGAGTAAGTAAAGGTGCATTCCAATCACCCTCATAGTTCCCTGCATGTGGTTTGGAATCACTCTTAAAAGGTCTGAAAACCATGTGTAGTACACTTTAAAGGGAACTATGAGGGCGATTGGAATGCACCCTGTAATGAGAAGAATTACCAAATGAATGCACCTTGTAGATTAAATAACCAGAGAACTTGTAGAGAGGAGAATTATCACTCTGCAATGTCTTCCAGGTTTCTCAAATGCTAGAGGGCACTCCTGAGCGAATCCAAAATGAATGGGTTGATATGGAGCATTTGAGCAAAATCATAGTTTATAAATGCTTAAACATTATAAATGAAAAAGAATACAATCACTTCCTGAACACTGAATAGCATAAAACATTTTAACACTGCTGTTATAATTTTAAGAGCTCAAGTTACATCCTTCTACTTTCTAAAATTAAAGAAACGTTCTGGGCAAGTGAAACTATTTTAACTTTTCATTTTTAGCAGTTGAGCGCCATTTACTCTCATTCAGTGAGGACTCGCTCACGGGCACCCTCTGCTGTTTAGCAGTCCTGTTTTTGATATAACAGGGGAAATAGGCAAGTAGCCAGGATCCTCATAAACCGGCTCTGGAATTACCACTCTGTAATGTCTTCCAGGTTTCTCAAAGGCTAGAGGGTGTGCCCAAGTGATTCCATAATAAATAGGTTAAGATGGAGCATTTGAGCAAATTCATAGTTTATAAATGCTTAAACATTTTTAATATAAAGGAGTAAGAACAGCATAGAACACTAACATCGCGCCTCAAGTATATTCATGACGTCAGTGAGCGCGAAGAACCAATGAGCTGCTCCGCTCGCCAACCAATCAGCACTCAGTAGCAGTAATGCTAGCGTCCTGCTGCCAAAAACCCGTTTACTGTAGAAAAAAGGAAATATACAGGTATGTTTTATTTAAAGTTTTTAGTGAAATACCTCCGTCTACTTTCTAAATTGAAGGAAGGGTCTGGGCGAGTGATTAAGAACTATTTTAACTTTTCGTTTTTAGCCATTTAGCTTCGTTCACCCCCATTCATTGAGCACTCGCTCGCGGGCGCCATCTGGCGTTTCGCAGTCCTGTTTTTCATGTAACGAGAGAAACAGGAAGAGGTCCGGCTCCTCAAAAACCGCGTCTGGATCGGTTGGAAAAAGCACCTTACTTACAGTGGCACGCGCTGGAAGGCAAAAGCAAAGGGCCTAGAAAAATAGGTAGCTCTGCATAATTTGAGCACGCAAGTGTGGCGATTGAGAAACAGCCCTGCATCGAAGCCAAGGTGCGGTCAGCTGATCCAGAAAGAGCACATGACACACCAACGAGTGCACATGACCATTGTCATTTTAATAAACTCTTCCGCGACAGTCTTCGTTCACAACACACAGTGGACGAGAAGTTGATTGGAAGGTCTAAAGGTTCATTTATTTCTACAGTTTCCGGAGAAAAGAAAGTGGTGTATTATTTCTCCGTCGGATTCGGTAAGTAGTAGCTAAGAGTCCAAAGGAAGACTGTTGCCTTACTTAATCTCCGTTTCTAAACAGGAATGTTTTTGATATTGCTTTAACCGGGAGACCAGCAGTGTGGCTTCTGACGGTGAGAGTGACCGTTTTCACTGCACTGAAGGTCAGCCTCAGTGGTCTCATTCTAGCTGGGATTTCACGCGTGCACTGCATTCCACAAATGAAAGTAGTGCATTTCCTTTGACTTGTATGAACGGGATACAGTAAAGGACGGTAAAGGTGAGCTTCGTAAGACTGGTGCCATTGCCTAACTAAATATTGACAGAAAATTGTTGGCTAGGTGTAGCCAACCCTGCAGGTGTGTCTCTGGCTTTGCGGGATCTGACAAGTTCTAAACAAGCACACCTCATCATTACATTACGGCAGAGCCTCTGAATGTTGGTAAGCAGCTTTTAGATTATAGGTCCTGAAGCAGGACAGCACATAAAGCAACAGCCTTACCGTTACTATTATACGTAGCCACCACTTCCTAAAGGGCTATAGAGGTCCTTGACAGTGTTTTCTTCATGTAAACTGTGCAGATTAAATGAATATCATGGCAGGACAGAATAAATCCAGAGCTTTTCAGCATCTTCACAATGGCCAGTTACACACCTCTCAGCTCAAGTTCACTGCAGTGGATTTTGGGAAGAAGAAGTAGGTTAAGTAAGGAAATTTTTAGAACAAGTCGATCTCTGCTGTCAAAACAGTGTTTTTATCTTGAAACTCCCATTTGTTTAACTGTTTGCTTGAGAATTTGGCACACCTGGAGATGTCAAGTGAGCAGTCATAAGACTATATCAGGTGCTTTTCAGCTTCCTGTGTGCTTAGGTAGTGATAACTCAGCTCATTGCTTAGTTCATCAGTTTTGTACTTTTCCTAAAGAGCGTCATTAATGTTATAGTGCTAGATGCTATAGATGGTCACATGAGGCCACAGATAAGGACCTCTGAACAACCTGGAGAGATTTTCAATGGAAGAATAATCTCAGATCTTCTCTCATTCAACACTAAAAGAAAAATCACTGTTATAGTAATGCATTTTTTTTGAGTGAAGTGTTGTTATTTAAAATAGTAATTCTTCATGGATCTGTATCAATGGCAAAACTAAGGACCAGAATATTTGACATGAGACCATATTTTACTGATGTTTTGCTTTCACACATCCAGAGGTATCTTGCCTTTTATCTGATTATACAGCTTTCTCACAGGTATGCAGCGAGCAACAGTTGTATGTTTGCTGACCTTCTTAGCAGTCACACTAGCTCTGGACAATGGTTTAATGAGGACCCCGCCTATGGGCTGGTTGGCATGGGAACGATTCCGCTGTGACATTGACTGTGAGAATGACCCCCAAAACTGTATTAGGTAGGTACAGGTTCATAAGTGAAATATAAAATGCAGCTAGTGAATTTTACTTGTCTCCATCTGACTTTTTTCCTCTGTGCAGTGAGGTTCTTTTCAGGGACATGGCAGATAGACTGGCTGAGGACGGTTGGAGGGAGTTGGGTTATGTCTATGTCAATATTGACGACTGCTGGTCTTCGAAAGAGAGAGATGCACAGGGACGACTCCAGGCAGATCCTAAGAGGTGCTGTATAACATAGTCACACTTTGGCATGGGATTGTCACAGTTAACGCTCAGACTTTGACTTCAGCTTCAGCCTTATGACTTCAGCCTTACAACTCAAGATCCAAAGTGGGAGAAACTTGGGGAGAAGTCTGGCTGCAGACTGGACTCTCGACAGTCTGTTACTGTTAATGTAAATGGTATTGTTTCTTGGTGTAGGCATACCAGGACTGCATCGAATATATATTTGATATAGACTTCTTACAGCAACTTTGTCTATAACTGTGGTTAACAAAAGCATGATAATTTGAGTTTGCCTCCATAAGCGAAGTTCAAATGAGCATCCATGAGCCTCTGCTTAGCATTTAAACTAATTTACTGTTTTCCTCATGGAGGTTACCAAAAAAACAACAAAAAACTAAGCTTAGGTTGGGTGGGGGAACAGAAGGCTTGAAATATGTTTCCAAAAATTATCAAAATTATTGTCTTCAGTGAAAAGTTGTTTTGTTGTTAAATTTTTGTGTGTTTGTGTTCATTTGTAGTTCTGAACTCTATTTTGTGTTTACAATTGTGTCTGTCGTAGTTATCTGTGTACCATGAGTTTTTGTACCAAGGGTAGTAAATATAAATAACTTAATTATTAATTATTAATTTAATATACTACCATATACTATTAACAAGTGTTGGCATTACATTTGCTAAACTATGCATTATGGCTTGTTTAGGGCTTGAGACTCTCTGAGTCTTGCCTGTATTGGCTCAGGACTTGATTGTCAAGACTTGAGGCTTACTTGTTACTTGCAACTCAGTTGACTTGTTCCCACATTTAGTGATGTCCCTGTCTGATCCAGGCATGTTTTAATTGATCTAGTATTTGCTATTATGCACAGCCTGCAGCAGTGTGCCGTTTTTTCAGAAGTTAACAAAAAGAGCTAATATATGCATTGTGGAACTGCTTTATAGTGGGAAATGAAAACTTGTAATATCTGCAGCACCAGTGATTTGACTGTGTAGGCCTATGCCTGGTGATGGATAACAGAGTTACCACCGAAACAAGACACTAGTATTCCCATGCATGTTTACCACTGAGCTTTTCATATACTGGGTGATATTCTACTTCAACAACATTGCACACTGTATTTATTGTACCTATTAAAAAAATATGCCATAGAACAAAACGTATCAGTCCAGTATGTCACATTATGTACATAGAAAATTTTTGTGTAGCATTAAATAGCAACCTAGCAAATATTTGTAACAGTTTTACAAAGCGCAAAAAAAAGACATTCAGTTTTGTAAGTTGCTATGGGCATTTCATAATTTTATAGGGAAATAGTGATAAATGAAGTTATTTTATAGGAAATAATAAATTTGCAATTTTTTATATTAGCATAAAGGTTAATTTATATTAGCTTAAAGAATAAAAAATATTTTTTAAGAAACAACAGGAAAATGCATGTTGGATATGCAGGATAATGTATAATTTAGTCATAATTGATTGCTTCTCATATCGTCATCACTATTTCCAACAACTTTATTGCAAATTGCATTTTATGTACATATTGTGCAGCTCTATATCATTACATTTGTTTGAGTGGCATTAATGTAAGCATAAAATAAAAGTTAGTGTAGATTTAATGATAGAATTTGTCTGGCGTAAGTACGGTTTAAAGTGCATGTGTCACATGGAATGCATGCATTATTCAATGCCATGTGTGATACCTAACATACGTCATGTTCTTTCATGTGTGGCACAAGCAGGTTCCCAGGTGGCATTGCTAAACTGGCACGCTATGTTCATGATCGTGGGCTGAAGTTGGGTATCTATGGTGATTTGGGGACTTACACTTGTGGAGGTTACCCTGGCACCACCCTGGATAAAATTGAAATAGATGCTCAGACCTTCGCTGAATGGGGCATAGACATGCTCAAACTGGATGGCTGCTACTCCAACTCCACTGAACAGGAACAAGGTGAGAGACTGTCATGAGAGGAGAGATTAAGAGATAAGTATAAATTATTAAAAATAAAAAGGCATTTGAGATTTAATTGCAATTAGGGATGCTTTGATACCAGTACTGGTATCAGGTTTTGGGCTGATACAGCACTTATTTACATGTACTCATACTCAGAAAAACTCACTGGTACCAGCATCCAATACGTGCTGATACCATGTGTTGTAAGCCAAGTGTACACTGCAGTGCAAATGAACAAACAACTCAAGCTGACAGAGAAATGTTACTGATTCCGTGCTGGTTGGACACAAAGTCGTAGATCACTTTTTCTGCCTTGACAAAAAGTGATATTTAGCCCATTTTTAAACACACACAAACACAATCACAACTACTTCTCCAGTACAGTATAGAAATCATAGGCTTTGTCTGCACACACTGGACTATTCAAACTTACAGTGTGACTCACCAAAGAACAAGATTTCTAAAATTACATTGCATATGTCAGGCTTTAGAGGACATTCAGCTAATATTCTAATATTGTATCAGTGAGCACAAGAAATATATACTCAAACTTGCTCAAAAAATGGTTTCAATGCATCCCTAATTACAATGTTTCAGTACAAACTATGTGCTGGACTCTTGGCTATAAATGTAGCTTGAAGTAGTTTGATTAGAGAAACTTAGGCACAAATAACTTTTACAAAGGTAAAGCACTAGATTGAATATTCATCCTGAGTGATCCATTTGTAATCCTAAGCTGAGTGCAAACGATAAGACTTTTAAATTCAAAACAGATTAAAACAACAGAGGGTATATTAGAGTAACCTCTCCATCACAACTGTATTTATTCTACCTGATCACATCCCACTTTCCCGCTTTCATCAATTGTAGAAAAAGGTCATGTGTTGCAGTTTAAAATAATTACATAAGTGTTAAAAAAGTCATTTTTTGATGATTTAAAAAAATTAAATATCTTTATGTTTGATCAAATTTCCCTTTAAAATCCAAATCAGATATTAACTTCTGGCTACTTTGTAGCTTAGAATTTGTAATTTATCCTGCATTATATAATGGTATGAGTTGTAGGATATCATCATCTGCTGCCACCTTGACCCTGATACATGAATTTTTAATTAATGGTTTAAATGGTGAATTATGAATGCTTCATAATTTTGACATAGTAGCTGCTTGGTGAACACCCTCCTCCAATGCCACCCTTCCTCATCTCTGAATGGTCTGGTTTTGCCATGGCAGATATCTGGCAACCCTGTATATCGCCCAATAATGTGTGTCCAGTAATAACATTATTAAATTCAGTGATTGAGAAAAAAAAATTTAATAAAAATGTCTAAATGAGTCGTAATGATGCATGCAGAGATGTTAAATCTACACAGTTCTATACAAATTGCCATACAACTACAAGTTTAAACTAAACAGAACAAACTAAAGCCAAAAAGAATTAAAGCTGTTTACAAACTATTCTGCTCCATATGCTTCTCCCCCCTACTCTACATGTAGTGATCAGTATACTATCTAGAGCAAGTTGAATGAGAAAGTATTACATTTTCAACTTAAGAGGTATGAATTATACCTCAAAGACTTTTAAAGCGTAGAGATATTTGCCCCTCATTGATTGTAGAGCAGATCCAGGTTTAGTGTTAGTATAAATGATGTGTGTAGCTTAAGGATAGACAGGATTCTCCTGAAATAACCTGATGTTCAGAGGTATTTCCATGAGGTGGGCCACTATCCTTGTGGCATTCTGAGAAGGGATCATGTAAGTGGTTAAAAATAATACAGTTTTTGCAAATACGTTTTCCCTATAGCAAGAAAGTTGTGCATATGACCGAATTATGCAAGTGAAGTGTCAACCTAGAAAAACACTCTTGTTTGAGTTTAGTTTCTGAAAGACCACTTCGTCTTTTTAAGGCTACCCACTCATGACGAAGGCACTCAATGCCACCGGCCGCCCAATTGGCTATTCATGCAGTTGGCCTGCATACCAGGGTGGGCTTCCTCCCAAAGTAAGTAAAATGTTAATATAAACTATATACAACCCCATTTCCAAAAAAGTTGGGATGCTGTGCAGAATGTGAATAGAAATAGAATGCAAATCATGACATAGAAATACGCAAATCATATAAACCCTGTATTTAATAGGAAATAGTACAAAGGCAACATATCTAATACTGAAACTGAGAAATTGTTTTTTGAAAAATATCTGCCCATTTTGAAGTTGATGCCAGCAAGACAGGCCCTGTCCCAACTTTTCTGAAATTTTTACCACTGTGTTGCATCACCTCTTCTTTTAGCAACACTCTGTAAGTGTTTGGAAACTGAGGAAAGCAATTGCTGTAGTTTTGAAAGTGAAATGTTTTCCTGTTCTTACTTGATACAGGATTTCAGCTGCTCAACAGTTTGGGGTCTCCTTTGTTGTATTTTTTCTTTTTATAATACACCAAATGTTTTCAGTGGTGACAAGTCTGGACTGCAGGCAGGTCAGTTTAGCAACCAGACAAGAGCCATATACATAATAATAATTATATATATAATTAGTTCAGCATTGTTACGTGCCCCTGTGATGTTACCTAGGGGTAAAGGGGAAGTAACATGGAGTATGTGATGAGGGGTCGAAGGGAGAGGCACGGAAAACGGGAGTATCACGTTTAGACAAAGCTTTACTGTTCAAATGTGTACACGTACACCTTTTAAAGTGAAGTAGTGACATGGAACAAAGACATAAGACAGCTGACAATAAGACATCCAACTAGACAAAATCAACAAGATGAATTGATAACCAGCTAACAGGACTAATCTAGGAAGCTTAATGTGATCGAAGAGTTAAATTGACTTTCAGTACTGACAAGGCTGAGAGTAATTATATTGTATGCGAAGCTAGCTGTAATGGTGGACTATGGATGGTGCCAAAGCAATGAAAATAATAATAAACCTCTAACCTGCCTAACAGGAGCTCACCTGCACAAAATACAGCGGGTGGCACTCGCCCCTTGCCTAGTGTGTCTATACAAAGTGTGTCACTACTCTGTGTGTCAGATGTAAAGGCGCGCCCAGACTGCCTGTCCACTCATTGCGCTAGAAAGAAAGATACAGAGTGAGCGAGAGAGAGAGAGGAAGAGACACAGTGAGGCCAAGGCAGAACTAAAACTAACGGGCTACAATTTTAATAACAGCAAAAGTCAAACTACCAGCAAACTAAAGGCCTTACAGACACACAGTGCTCTCTTCCCCTCTTATTGGGTCACTCTGCGCATGTCGGACAATCTGTCGGTTCTCCCTCTCTGTGGTTCGTGTAGGTCTCCCAAATCCTTCATGTCGCTGGTGCATGCCTTTTTCTATTCACTGCCGCCAACAGCGTGCTATGGTAATATACGCACGACCGGAATGGCGCGCAATACGTCAATAATCCCTCTTCCCGGAGCCCTACGATACATTTAATGTCCAGTATGTTTCAGTATGTGTTAATGTCCTAGTATAGACTAAACAATATAAACGAGAGCGCAGATTCACTTCGCTCCGCTTTAAGCTTTAGCTACAGCCGCTTTCCTCCCATCTCCGCCAGAAATCTTTTCTTCAAAACTAGAAGAGTTTCTTGTAAAATGTCTCAGCGTCCGGCTGTTTTACGAGGCTGAAGTCGCTTCTCATTCGCCAGCTTCACGTTCTAATTGTCCCGTTCCACCTTAAATTCTGCCTTAGGCGCCGAATGTAACTGCAGCACCATTTAAGGTGGAACTGGAAAATTCGAAAGAGAAGCGAGTTCATTTTCGCAACTTTTTAGAGAAAGACAGTCTCTCAGCAGATTTAACCAACCGCGCTGCTTATAAATACGAATAAGTCCTCCAAATGTTCGTCTGAATCTCTGTTTTTTCGGTCGCTGCTAGCGAGGCCAGACCTCGGTGCTATGTGACCTGCTGTCCGCTGTCTGTTCTCGGTCGTTGAGAACCAGGGCTTTCGCGCTATGCTGCACACTTTGGAGCCGAGATTCAGCGTCCAGTCTTGAAAATACCATTCGTACCAATACCAATACGTAATGCATTTACATTATGGATCATTACAAATACTTTGCTTTAAAACTACCAAGTCCTCAGACAGTAGGAAGATAGAAATCCTGTATAGAGAAAAAAGATGCGTCGATAATCGTTTTATAATCGCATCGCAGCCCTCTGAATCGTAATCGTAATCGAATCGAATTGTGAGGTGCCTAAAGATTCCCACCCCTTATAAAATATATATTACTGTTTCTGGCCAGACACATCTGGTTTAGTTTAGAAGTAAGTTACCAGGTTGAGTAGTCAAGTCAAGTTTATTTAAATAGTGCTTTTCACAAGAAGCATGGTCACAAAGCAACTTTTCAGTCTGGGTCCAAGCCCCAGATGAGCAACCCAAGGTTGATCATGGCAAAAAGGATCTCCTTAAGGGCTCAGAGGAAGAAACCCTGAGAGGAACCAAGACTCAAAAAGGGAACCCATCTTCCTCTGGTCAACACCGGATAGCAAACCAATAACACCACAAGGGTGATATAAAACCGCAGGCAGGTGAAATAATGCCTATGGTTAAATAGTTTGAGTCTGTTCAGGCACTAGTATCATCAGGAGAGTGAGTGGGATGTGTTATGACCCGGTCTAGATCCAGATCAGACCAGACACCAGACACCATTTAAATTAGCAAACTGCAGGTTTATTGGTAAAATTATGCAAGTTTGCAAGTGGCTAAAATGAATCGAAGTGATGGCTTCAGGGACGAGCATATGCCAAAATGACAAACTACTAATGATGACAAAAAACTAACTAAACCTGAAAACAAGAAAAAAAAAACAAAATACAAACAGCTTCCCTATCTCCCTGCTTTAAAACTAGAAACGCTAACCAAAACAAAATGGCACTTGTCCCCTACTTTCCAAGTGTTCTCAAGAGTTTCACATAATCTAACAAAGCTTTCACAAACTTTTCATGCCTAGTGAAGTGAAGAGTGCTGGGCTGGTATGGACAGGTGTTCTTCCAGGTCAGGTCAGAGGGGAGAAAGTCCTGAACGTCTCTTGAGATGGAAGCTTCGGTGACCTTTTCAACAGCCAGGCGCCCCTGAGTGGCCAATCATGTACCTGCACATAATAAACCAATGGAAAAAACACACAAATTGGCCACAAACAGATACAAAGAAAGGCTATTACGACCAGGGGTCATAACACCCCCATCCTTAAAAATAAACATCTCATGTTTAAAGCAAAACACTAAGAAAACTGGCAGTAAACAACCAAAACAAATACTCACCAGACAAAATCAAGAAATGGACGAGCTATTACAGCCTAACTAAAAGGGAGAGCCAGAAGGTACAAAAGACATTTGGGGTTCCTTGGGATATCGGCACCTCTCCGCTCCACCATCATCAAACTTGAGTGAGTGCATGAGAGCAGCGGGATGACAGCACCAACAGTTTCAGTTTACCGTAACACTCAATGTCAATGAACCCCCAGATCTCCTCCACTTACCTAACAGGAAAAACTAATTACCAAAGGCTTGACAAAACAAGAAGGCATTTTGAGCAGAAAAATCACCGAACTGTGCTGGACACTGACCAGGACCACAGTTCGATACACCTTTAAAGTCTCATTTGTAGTGCACTTCCAATCTAGACTCATTTTCAAATGCAATATCTTACATGTATATTATGTCCTCACCCCCTTGGCTAGGTCAACTACACCCTGCTTGGAGAGATCTGCAATCTTTGGCGTAATTATGGTGATATTCAGGACTCATGGGACAGTGTCTTGGACATTGTGGACTGGTTTACTGAACATCAGGACATCCTGCAGCCTGCTGCTGGACCAGGACACTGGAATGACCCTGACATGGTGAGGAGTATTCTTGTTTAGCCCAGCATACAAACATAAGGTTCATAATCAAATTAGTAATGCAACTTAGCAAGTTTTGCATTAGTAGCAAACATTGTAGATCTAAAGGGTTTACTGAAAGGATCACAGCATTCTCTGGTGAGCAATGCCTGGTCTTTGATTTGAGATCCCTGCACAGCTGCAACTCTTCTGATGAACACAATAATGACCTGCTAATTCTTATTCTTTAATTTAGTTATTTATTTATGTATCTATTTGGTCAGTTAGTTAGTTAGTTAGTTAGATAGATAGTCAGTCAGTGAATCAACAGAATCAGGCAGCTGACAGAAATGCATGGTTACCATAATAAATACCACAACTTTGTTCCCAGCTGATCATTGGAGATTATGGCCTCAGCGTGGACCAGTCACGTTCTCAGATGGCACTGTGGGCAATAATGGCTGCTCCTCTACTCATGTCTAATGATTTGCGGACTCTAAACAGTGGTGCACGTGCTATACTGCAAAATAAAGTTGCAATAGCCATCAACCAGGATCCCTTGGGCATACAAGGCAGACGCCTGATAAAGGTATGAGCTGTGGAATAAAAAGGAAATCAAAGAAGACTCTGATATGTCACTTTTTTAAACTTTGTCACTTGTTCTCTCAAAGACCCCCTTTCTCTCCCTCATTCTCTCCCAGGAAAAGAATGGTATAGATGTGTTCTGGCGTCCTCTGTCTGGCGCTTCGAGCGCTTTGGTCTTTTTCAGCAGAAGAACTGATATGCCATATCGCTATCAGACATCTCTGAAGGCTCTCAACTACACAGCAGGCACCTATAAGGTCTGTGGTAGTGGGTGCACATGTGTTTGTCACTTGCATCAGATGTCTCTGCAACCAGCCATTAACACAACCACTCGTGTGGTGTGCCATTTCCCCCCTCCTGTACAGTCTTAAAGGGAAATTCCACATTTTTTCTTTTCTAAATTTCTCTCAATCATTAAGATGTCAAACCACTCTGAATTACTTTGTTTACATGAAATGCCCCATTCTAGACAAATTTACCAGGTCAGTGTCGTTCACAGTGGTGTTGACAGGATCAGTCAAGACAAGAAATTTTTAGAAATTCGTATTATAGAAGCAGCTAAAGTTAGTTAGCCAGACAGCTAACGTTAGCTACCGTTACTGATGTAAAATAGGCCAAATAAAACTAAAGCGAGATAAACTTGAAGACTATTGTGACAGCGTTTCATGCTGTTTATCAGTGCGATGTGCTCTCCAGTTTGTTCCCCAAGCGCTTAAGCCAGTCATACTAGCGTTACTTCACATGTTCAACTATGTCTCCTCAGTATTCACCACCATCACTGTAATATTTATCTGATAAGTTTTTAACAACATTAACATACAAAGGTAATAAGAGGGGGAAAAAATCTCAGGAGTCAAAGCACTGTTTTCAGTGTAGATAAATGTAATGTCTATGCTAGTTGTAGTGGACTATGCTGCTTGTCACTGAATAAAACGATCAAAATGGCTGGTTAAAACAGACATTAAGACACCCCTGGGGTTGTCTTAAAGTTAGGGCAGAATTTAGGAATTTTTGTCCAGTTAGGATGTTTCTGTAATACTGGGGCTGTATTACAGAAACTTCTGAAGTCTGAAATGTTATCTTATCTGTTCAGTCACCACGACAGCTTAAGTTAGCACTGTATTTTGGACAGAAGCTATTACAGAACAACAGTTCTTAAGTTAATAATCTCATCCTAACTCCAGATAAGAAAACAGTATTACAGAAACTGGCTGTTTCTATCATTTTATGCAGTGACGGGCAGCATAGTTCACTAGTATAATGACGTTACATTTATCTACATCGAAAGCAGTGCTTTGACTTATAAGGTTTTTTTTTTTTCTAATAGCCTTTTAAAAATCCCAGATACTGCAGAAGCGATCTCCACCGTTCCCTCTTATTACCTTCATGTGTTAATGTTGATGAAAACTTGTCAGATAAAATATCATCGCGCTTTAGTTTTATTTAACCTTTTTTACATCAGTAACGGTAGTTAGAGTTAGGATAAGATTGGGAGCTTAAGAACTGTCGTTCTGCAATAGCTTCTGCCCTAAATTCAGTCCTAACTGAAGTTGACATGGTGACTAAGCAGATAAGATTTCAGACTTAAGAAGTAAACTACAAATACAAATAGCAATATAGCAGAATATTTTGCTGAGCTTTAAAACTGTAAATATTAAAATGCAATTGAAGTGCAAAACCTATGGCATGTTAGGTTAGTGGTAAGTCTGATAGTGACATCATTAGCATAAATGACTTTGTAGTCCCTTTATAGGAAACACTTGCAAAAACTTTTACTGTTTTACTGTCAATAATTTGGAACATTGACAATAGTGTTAATTACAACTGAACATGGGGGTGATGGAGGAAGAAGAAGAATAATACATTGAAGAAACCCAAAGATATCTTACAATAAAAAACATAAGGACATCAGACAGGGTATTCCTTCTTGAACGGATGTGTTTAAAGTGGGATTTAAACAGCACCATTGAGTCTAATTGATAAATATTATATTGTTCAACATGTAATGTGAATAACCTCAAATTTATTTTTAATGTTTTGAACACAATCTGTACACATACCATTTTCCTAATGCTACTAATGCTGATAGATTGCATAGGCCAGGGGTCGGCAACATACGGCTGTTTCACTGCCCTGTTGAGGCTCCACAGCAGAATTAAATTTTTAGATATAAATAAAATAAGCTCTTCTGATCATTCTAACACAGTCCTAACAATAAATGGTCTTAGGAAAAGTTTCCTGCCAGTGATATAAGAAAAGTAGCTATAACTGAGCAAAGCAGAGCAACGTTAGTCTGTGTTTTCTTTTTTTTTTTATGTTTTCATTTTAGCCTACACTAGGACATTAGCACATACTGAGACATATTTACAGACAAGATGGTAAAACTTTACTTAAATAAATTGACGTACAATGTTCCCAAGGCGGATTGATTTGAAAGAATGGCTCTTCTTAACATTTGGTTGCTGACCATAGGTACTTCTTAGCATTTTCTTATTCAATTCTTAGCATTGTCTTATTTGTTAGCATTTGTAGTCAAATTATTCCTTCAAATTGCATACTATAGAGTCTCTCTTTTTAAGCCCTCTCTTTCTCCCTCTGTCCTCCCACCTCTCCCTCTCAGGTGTATGATGTGTTCTTGGAGAAGCTGATGCCTGTATTGAAGGATGCCACAGAGTTTGTTGTTTCCATTAACCCCACTGGAGTAGTCATGTGGTATGTTTACCCATCCACCAAGTGGCAGGAGGAGGCAGAGTCTTTTCGCTTCAGTAACAAACTGACCGGCCCGAAGTTCTATCAAAGAGAACACAATGCTTATTCTCCTATTGTGCTATGAAACTGTTTTCTAAATAGCTGCACCATCCAAAAGCAGTACCACTCCCATCCCTTGTCCAGTCTTTCAGCAGAGTAGGTTTTAAGACTTAATATTTGAATGTAATGCTTTAGTTTGAATATGAAGGGGTAGTGATATAAATTGCTTCTAAGCACTTCATTTTTAATTCAACTTTTTTAACATTTACAAATTCAGAGGGCAATTGAGAGGAATCTCGTTTGGGGAAAAGCCTGCTTTGAATTATTGCAACCCTTTCCAAGTAGACACCACTGATTTATAACGCAGTTTAAAAGTGCATCAACAGCAGTGCCTTTGTAATATCTGTTTTACAAATAGGTTTTTCCTGTACATGCATGCTGATGATACAGTGTTTGAACAGTGCAGCTATTGGCATTACACTCTGCAGATTGCCTCTTTACCCAGTCATGACACTGCTGTCCACTTGGATGTCAGTGCACTGCAATTCACACTCAGGGAAAATCAGCCAATAAGACTTTTGTTTACAATCAACGCCTCAGAAGGGAAAGTCTAGCTTGAAATAGACTTGATTTATGATTTTATTTTTTAGCTTTTCTCTCTTAATCTTTGTTATTTTATAGGCCAGGGGTCGGCAACATATGGCTGTTTCACTGCCCTGTTGAGGCTCCACAATTAATTGCTCTGATGGAAATTGCAATACACTATTGAACTGTGTTCTGTAACTGTCATGGTGTGAATTGTGTGGTCCAAAAATGTACTGTACTGCTCATTGCATAAATCAGCTTCTTTACAGATGGTCATTTTAAAATGTGATTAAATGTCTGATCTTTTCATTTACTGTGGCATTTCCAACTTATTTAACCCCAGCTCATGTTAGTTTTGGTAAAGTTAAATGTAGCACTTTTTATACTTCGTTTTTGGAAGTTAACTCCCAGTACTTTATAGCTGCCGTGACGCTCCACAAGACTTTAAATTATGGTAAAATAGAGGAGTGGTGGGTACTTGCACTCCTACAATATTTTACAGTAATGTTATTTTGCAGTACTGTGCAAAAGTCAGAGACCACCCTTCATTTATTTCATTCCCATTAAGTACATTATTGATTTGATTGAATACAGTATAAAATGTTATAACATTTAGTGTGTCTACTCATTGCTTTTATTACAGCTTCCATTCTTTTCAGGAGACTTGCTTTCAGTTTTTCAAAGCAGTCTGCAAACATATTTTCCATACTTCCAACGCCTGTTAGGACTCCCCCTTTTCTCTATATCTTTTAATAATTTTTGAGCTCCAGTTTTGGTAACTTTGTTTCACTTATTTTTCACTTATTGTACCTCTTGTGAGTGGATTATTTAACATCTAATCTCCTCAGAAATATCTTCTGAAAAAAGAACTTCCACTTAATGTTTTGACTGGAAATTCCTAATAAATGAATGGTGGTCTCTGACCTTTACACAGCAGTGTATATGGAAGTAATGATAATAATAATAATAATAATAATAATAATAATAATGTTTAATAATAATAGTAGAATGTTCCTCAGTGTATTGCATAGTGCAGTTAAAGGTATTGATGGGCTATTTTGGCGTAAAGTAAGTACAAAGAACAAAGAAAATAGTGGTGTAAATATTCAGGCTAATGATTAAAATGCAGGAATTCTGCTATGGGACCACTGGATGGCGATGTTGACTAAAACTGTGCTGATGGTAGAAGAGTGTTAGAGATGATCTCAGTACTGGTGGAAATTTCCTTTTACACTGATTAGAGATATTTTCTCTGCTCTCTTTTGTTACTGTTGTGCTTTTGTTGTGAAATTGCCAGGGGGATCTGGTCATGGATCTGGATAAAGCAACAGCTTCTACTTTGATCTTTAGACTTGAGGAACTACACTTACTTGTGTCTGCACAGATAATAGACTCCTCATAGACCCCCCACACAGCCTTTCACCTTCATTCTGTCACCTTTTGTTTGCAAATGTACGCTTTGCATCAGCTCTTGTTCTGTATGTGTATATCTCTCTCTGATACAGAGAGTGGCTATTTCCGTCAACTTTTGGTTGCGTATGCTTAGCAAAGTCTCTGTCTTTCTCTGGTTTCTGTTTGTGTGTAGGAAGCTGTTTGCTGAATAGGTCTGTGGCAGGTGGTTATTTGTGTACAGCAGGTGGACCTTGGTTTACCACTCTGAGTTTTAGTTATGGTTGCAGCTTGTGTCAATCTCTGGTTCGTGACTTGCGTTTAATCAGTCCGAGGCACAAAATATCCAAAGACTGGACACAACATGAGCAGAAACAGAGAGAAGGGGTGTAGACTAAACCATGCATGTCATTAGTGGATTGATTTCCTAACCTGTTTTTGACCCGTTACTCTATTTTGCATCTTTCCATCCATTTTCATATTTTGCTTTGCATCTAGAAAAGGAAGCCAGACTATAGAGGAAGGTGAAAAGCTTGTTCTTTACCACTGGTTTTCGTCTGTTTATCTGTGGGAATTGGCCTTTTGGTGTGGCTGCCTGTCTTCACATGTCTCTGATATTTGATGAAGGCTGAAAATGACACATCTCTCATTGTCAAGGTCTCTGGAAAAAGAGGCCAGTGAGAGAGTGGAGTTGCGGGAGATTCAGGGAGAGAGAAGGGAGACAGACGGAGTGAATAAAGGAGGGGTAGAGAGAGTGTGAGGGAGGAGTGTGTTCATGCCAGGGCTCACGTAGGCCCACACAGCTGCAGAGCCACATTTGCTACTCCAATCACATTCACCCCCCCTTCACTCCCCAGTGAAGTCACGCTGGAGAGCACACCCCTTACACTAAAAGTGTGTGGGCGCGCACTCGTGTGTGTGTGCATGTATGCCCTTGTGTTTGTAGGTCAGGCTATCTAAATAACCCCCTTCTTTCAGAGCTCCATGTGCATTGGAGAGTGACACTGGAAATGACTTCTTACTCCTTGGCTGTAAGGTCCATGTGGCTAGTGGTAATCCCAAGGTTAAGATTAAGATTATGATTCAGCTGCCAGTTGCAGAGTCTGATACTGTTCACTGCATAACGTGGCCTAGACCCACCTGTCTTGTCATGCTTGATTGACATTCAAATTGACCAAACAGCTCGCTGTTTTGGTGTGGTGTGCAGGGGGAGTCAATTGTGAAAATCCACAGACATATCTTGCTCTGAAAGGCTTTTTTTGTCACAATGTCTAGTGCAGGTAGTTGTTCACTTTTGCTGACTAGAGATTAGCTGGATGAAAAATTTTGCCTCTTGTATGAATGGGTAAAGAAAGGGTAAAGAAAATTAGAATGGAACTGACGAAGATGACTGTTTACAGTGTTGCCTTGGTAATAGCCCCCATTGATAGTAGAAACTAATTGACTGCTGTAAATTGATATATTTAATGCAGAACCTAGCAAAACATTTAGTATTCCCAAACAAGAACATTACCTAACATGTTTAAATGTTAAATTATGTGATATCCTACATTAATACCACATTTACTGTACTTAACATAGATGTGATTATTCTGTAAATGCAGCTGTAGAGCTGCCCTGCCTACAGCACTCACTCAGTTCTATAGGCAGACATCATGTCTGTACAAAAAGGTTTCTATGGTACTGTGCACATTTTAGGACATGCACTCAGCACAGCATTAGGTTTCAGACATTTTGGGAAAAGATTTTGGAAAAAACCTGTGAGTAAAAATGTCTCAAGTCTCAAGCATCAGATGAAACGGCCTCAAGCCAAAGTGGCATCAGGCTAAACATAAGCAGCTACATACTGTAAAGTTCATGTGACACTCAGTTCTGTTCTTCTTACTAAATTAATGAGTTGTTTCATCAAATTAAAGATACAACACTACAACCACAACTAGAACTGGAGTGTTTATGTTGGCTTATTCGACAAAGACAAAGCTTTAACTTGCCCCTTTGCATTACTGGGTTTGCTCTTGCGTCTGCTTCAGTGCCAGTGACTTGATACTATTATTATTGTTATTATTATTATTATTATTATTATTATTATTATTAGTAGTAGTAGTAGTAGTAGTAGTAGTCCCAGGGTGCCAAAATCCAGTCTTGCTGATCTACCATCCTGGCCCTTATATTCTGAAGGTCCTGAAGGCCTTAATTAACTGGATCAGGGTCCATATTCATAAAACTTCTCAGCGAAGAAGTGTTAATCTAAGATCTGCTCTGATCAGTAAAGTCATGGTAAATGTACAGGAATCTGATTTTAGATCAGCACTGCTACTCAGAGAAGCCTGGTGAATGTAGCCCATTAGGGTTGAAACTAAACTCCCCAAAGTTTGCAATAAGCAGAAAGGGTTTTATGCCTTTTGGTGCTATATAGAACTATTTTGTAAAGATTTATCAAACAACCATATACAGCAGGCTCTCAATCATAGAAAAGAACTATGTATTCAATTGGTTATTATAACACCGTTCTATATATAACCGTTTTTTTTGTTTTTTGTCTAGCCGGATATGAGCACCCCTGTTCTTGGTTATCACTCCAAAGATTCTTTTTTGACACCTTCAGTTTTAAAGTCCCAATATAAATTGTTAATTTAACACATTTTCACATGACAGGTGGAGGTGGTGTTTATCACATGTCTCAGAATAAGAAGACTGGTCTAATATCAGGTCTCCTCAATTCATGCAGTTCACTGTATTGCAAAAGGAATGGACTGATCCCTGCATGGAATTCTTATTCTGAAATATTCTATAAATATCAGCCTATGAACACAAATCAAAGAGGTTTGGCATAAGTGCCCTCAACGCTTCTGAAATTTATGAGAACATGGTGTATCTGGGGTTGTTACGTATCTTTATAAGAAATCTAGGACTGTGTGGTGTATGCCACAGGCTTTGCTTTATGCTATTTCATATATTAACAGAAAAGAAAGCTGAGATTTTTACATTGTGCTTTCACTCTCTTGGAGAAATTATCTCCTGGAACTGGATCCAATGTCAATACAGGCACTGAAGAAAGGAAAATGCTTCCAAATTCAATTCACCTGAAATGCGAGTAAAGAGAGATGCTGGGCACAGATTAAGTCTAAAGCAAGCCTTTTAGTTGTAGGCATTTTAAACAGACACTTGCTACTAACAGTGTAATTTAGTCCAAGACTAGGCCTGATCTGCCTGGAACACTGGGCTGTAAATTACAGACTGTGTGCGCCATCAGGGCACTCAGCGTGCATATGCATAAATTTGTTCCTTGTTCACAGTAGCTACTATGCCACCATTCACTCTTATAAGATGCATCTGAAGTTCAAGGTTTTTAGTCTTAATGTGAGCAAAAAGTCCCCTGAAATTATGGTTTTGGTTTTCTGTGCATTCATGGACATCCTTTAGAATAGATTCTCTGCAAGCAGTATTAATTTCATTTGGTCTCCAAGTGAGATGTCGAAGGTATTTACATCTACATCGGAACCATTTAGGAATTACAGGTTATGCATTGTCTCCTGCTATTTCAAACCCTAAGAAAAAAAGATTCTAGGCTCTTTTAATCTATGGGAAAATTATGATTTTACAATTCACTTCTATCACATATTTTGGTAAACAAAAATCTTCAAAGACAATACATGTTGTGCTTTGTAAATTTTTCCCATCCAATATCACTATGTCCTCGGAATTTAGAGGTTGTTGAAAAGTGAAGATATTAATACATGCCACGAGCAAGTTAACATTCCTGCGCATTTAATTGACATCACATAAAAGTAAAGCCACTACTATGCCTCAACACCATTATAAAACAACACCCGATACTCCAACTGTAATCAAATACTGCAAAAGCCACGTAATGAGTACACTTGACAAAGCTGGCTGGTTTGCATGGGATATTTCGGTGA